ACATGGAGCCATTGATCACTACCTGTTGAGCCCGACAATCTAGCCAGCTTTCTATCCACCTTATCGTCCAATCATCCAGCCCATACTTCATTAACTTACTGGCAAGAATACTGTGGGAGACCATGTCAAAAGCTTTGCTAAAGTCAAGGAACAACACGTTCACTGCTTTCCCCTCATGCACAGAGCCAGTTATCTCGTCATAGAAGGCAATTAGATTAGTCAGGCATGACTTGCCCTTGGTGAATCCATGCTGACTGTTCCTGATCACTTTCCTCTCCCCTAAGTGCTTCAGAATTGATTCCTTGAGGACCTGCTTCATGATTTTTCCAGGGACTGAGGTGAGGCTGACTGGCCTGTAGTTTCCAGGATCCTCCTCCTTCCCTTTTTTAAAGATGGGCACTACATTAGCCTTTTTTCCAGTTGTCTGGGACCTCCCCCGATCACCATGAGTTTTCAAAGATAACGGCCAATGGCTCTGCAATCACATCCGCCAACTCCTTTAGCACTCTCGGATGCAGCGCATCCAGCTCCATGGACTTGTGCTCGTCCAGTTTTTCTAAACAGTCCTGAACCAGGAACTGAAGGATAAAGAAAAGGAGACTTTATATAAAACAAACCAAACAAACAAACAAAAAAGAACCCACCACACAGCAACCAACCAAAAAACCACCTCACCCCTCTTCCCAACTCTCCAATTACCCCACTCAGCACACGTTGTACTTCAACAATCCCTTCCACCTGGCATTTTCCTATTGGAAAAAAAAATAAAGTAGGGGTCCTGTTTAGTCTTGTCAATAGAAAGCAAGAGTCGACAGTGCTTATTGAACCATAAAGTGCCCTGCAAAGGACAGCCACGCTCACTGTACAGGAAGCAGGACACTAGGTAGGCAGAGAGGACAAAGCCTTAGATTATAAAGATTACTATCTTGCATAAAAGTTGAGAAGGGGTTTGTAGCCTTTGATCTACTATTTTATCCCTCTATGGGTAACTAATTTTCTTTAGTCACAGATACATTGCACAATATATACCTGCTCATGCACATAAAAATGTATTTTAAAGGGGTAAAAGAAGACTAACAATAAGCCACTGTACTAACAGGTTTCTGGTCCACTTCAGATGGTTGAAGCTACTGGAGCAAGTGCCAAAGTAGAGTGGCCCTGGCTATATTAAACATGTACATTTTGGGTCTGTTCCTCTCAGCTGTTGAGCATGCAATTTATGTCAAGCTCAGCAGAACTGAGCCCATAATCAGCATATTTGTTTTGAATGGGTGTAGCTGGGTGCTCAGAATTTTTGAAAATTTGGCAGTTTATTTAGGAGATTAGCTTTGGGTAATTAACCCCTCCACCCCAAATTCTTGTCCATGTGTAAATAATTTCTGTAAATTCTCAGATGTTATGCAATGCTTGAGGTGGTCCTCATGACTGCAAGTGGGGAAAGGTGCTTGAGTCTCTGTCCATGAGACACCTTATGGAATAGGTTGGAGTCCTTGTCACATAGTATCTGCATTCCAGAAGCGGTGGTAAAAGTCTGAGATGTGACACTGAAAAACTGAGATCTACTGAGAGAACCTCTACTGCAAAAATTCTCATCTTGTTTTGTCTCCTCTGAGCAAGTCTAGGACAACACAGCAACATTTTCCTCCCAAGTGGGCAATCTCACATTAGTAGCAACTTTATCATTAATCATCAGCTCTATTTTGTGCATTCTGTACTAGCCTCAATACTAGACTGTGTGATGTACTCCTTACTTAGAATTAAACTGTGGATCGAGAAACTATTGCCATATTTGAGTGTAGCAGGCAGGGACTTCAGCAGCAGTGGCTGGGGTTGACCTGCCAGTAGAAAACTTCTGGAGGCACTGGAGCAGCAATCGCTATAATTTTGAAAAGGGCACAACATGAGTTCTCTCCACTGCAGGCCACTGTGGAGTGTATGGTGGCATTGGTGGTGCTAACTCTCTCCCCCCGTGCTTCAAATCAGGAAATATGGACTACTCCCTGTGCAGAAATGCAATAGGAACAGGGCTGGATTTCACCTGTATACTTATGGAGCCAGAGTATGACCCTTGATTTCTTGGTAAGTTTCATGAAAATTGAAAAATTTTCTTTGGAACATGCAGATACTTAAATGATAAATATATGCTCCTGTAGCATTAAAGTCGTTTCTGTTCCAAGAGAAATTGCCTGTCCTGCAGGACGAGTTCTACAGAGTCCCTCCCTCCCTGCAGGATAGGTGAGATTTTAAGGCTATGGGTCTGCAGAAATAAACACCTGCCTATAATACATGAAAGGATTATTCTTGATTGTCAAAATGCTACTTAATGGCCTGATCCAGTTACTACTTGTCTCAGTGCACAGCCAATGATTCATGGAAATTCTACCACCCTCCCAAACTCTAGAGACACAGGAGTTTGTTCTACTAGGCTCTAACAGAAGAAAGCTCTCCTTTCCTGGGATTGTAGGAGCACCACTCCTTTCCCAAGAAGATCGTTATTGACATTGTTCTAGAAATGGGGTTGTTGAGAAAGCTCTTAGGGGAACCCAATGCATCTTTGTAGGAAGGCTGAGCATCTTAATACTTGGTGTGTAGGGAATGGGTTACCCTCCAGTTGCCTGAACATCATCAGCAGATTAAAATACAAGAGTTGAAAATGGGCTAAACTTATTAAGCTTCTCAATAGTTGTTGGTCAGCTGAACTGTTCAGCTGATGTCTTCTTAGCCATCAGTAAGCCATCTATAGTCATTATGTCTGAGAACAATGGACATACTAGCAAGTCAAGATGACAATATTGTTAATGCCCAGGATGCTGTTTGTACTTGAGAACAACAAATTTCCATCTTCAAAGAACGCTAGAAGTCTTAACTCTAGGCCAAATCCTCCCTTGTGATGAGCATTAGAGTGATGATTGAGGTGAAGAGACCCTGGGGAGCTTCTCTGTATCCCCAAACCAGTATGCCATACAATTGCACTAGAGGAGTCCTACTAACATTCAAGACAGAAGCCTTTGTACTGCAATCCACAGCACTTCAAGATCCCAAGTGGGGGGAAGGGGGCATGATGTGTCAGCTGTGGATGTGATAGTGTTCAGTTGTCTAGTGTGTACGCAGAGGTTGGCACAGTCACTAGCTCTCATTTTCAGAGCAGCAGTAAGGTGAACTGAGCATTCCCACCAATCCCTTTCAACCTCAGTTCCACCTAACTAGTCCTGTTGGTGCTGGTGGGCAGTCCAACAGTAAATGCTGATCCAGTGCCACTTCATCTCCCTCACATGGCCACATCTCAAGAGTAGAATTTCACCCCATATACTCATAGGATTAGTTCATCCACCATTGAAATGCTCAGCCTCTGATGTTGAAGATTGGTTATGCAGCTAGTTAATAGTAACAGTGATATTTTTAGGACAGGAAGTGAAGTACAATGCTACAACCAGTTGACGCTACCTAGGATATTATGTGAGAAATAATGTAATAATTATGCCTGAAACTTGTTCAGTACACAGAGCTTTCAAAAAAAAAAATAAGGGTGTTAAAGCACTATGGTATATTCACTGCCAAAATGATAAGGTTATCACTGATTTAGTGCCCTGCAGACTTTAAAGTTGCAATTCTGAGTGGAGTGCCATTTGTGCCTTGAGCTCATTTCCATCTTAAACATATGCTTAGTATTGAATGCCTTATTTAAGACCCTAGACAATGTTCAATGTCATGTTTCCTAGAAGAATAAAATTCCTTGTGCCTACTCTAGATACAATTTGCAAGTTATCAGCATATAAAGTAGGTCTGTACACAATAACGCTATTTAGGGTTTATATAGTATTTTAATGTCTGTATAGTGCTTTGAACAAATTCATCTTTGTGAGGCAGGTAACTCTTATCCATCTTTTAGACAAGGGAAATAGACACTGAGGGTAAAAACACTCACCTTGGTTGAAAGTAACTGAGTGGCAGAGTTAGGATTATTAGAATTTTGTAGTTCCAAGGGTTCAATTCTACAGTGAATCAGAAAGAAAGGGGGAACAAGTTTAAATCGTATTGTTACTCCACCAGACTCTGAAGGGTGATGGGAGCACGCATATACATCTGAACCGTTAAATGTCATCTTTGCTTTAAAATAGGATCTCTAGAGGAAACGCTAAAAACATCCTTCTCTCTCTAATTAGCAATTCATTTTGATCTTACACGATGAATAACCTGAAATATAGCCATTATAGTCACGCAGCGCTGCCATCAGCAAAAAACACACGTAATGTGCAAAATGGATTAAAATAGCTCCTAGATGACAAAACCAATTTCAGGGTTCTATTATGTTAGGCGCTGTACAAACCCATTTAAGCAGGGACAGTTTCTTGTAAAGAGATTTTGAAAACAAGGCAGATCAAGGGCCGTAGAAACAAAGTAATATGTCCACTTTACAGCTAGGGAACCGAGGTACAGAGATTAAGCTCAAGAGGACATGGAAAATCTGTTAGAAGCAGAAATTGAATACACATCTCCCAATCCAGTACCTAGACCAGAAAGTCATCCTCTCTTCTAAAATCTGTTCATGCTCTTGAATGCAGGCAATTATCCTGCTCCCTCTTGATCCAAGGAAACAAATGTCTAGTTGAGCTTTATATAAAGCCCCAATCCTGCACTAGGTACTGTATAGATGCAGGATTGGGTTTGCAGTCTAAAATTCAATTACTACAGAGACTTCAAAGTTAATACCTTATTGTTCATATAAAATTATCCATACTTTGCACTAACTACCATAAAGGTTGCTTTGCAAATATTTATGAAGGGAACCTCACAATACCATTCCTGTCAGGAGGGGAAATATTATATTCCCATTTTACAGATGAGTGCACTCAAAAACAAAACAGCTCTTAGCACTTAAGACACTGAATGCACTTATGCACTTTCAGACTTCAACAACAATTACTTCTATAGTGCCTTTCATCCACGGATCTTAACATGATTTACAAAAGCAGACAAGTATTTTAATCTCTGTTTTACAGATGGGGACAAGGAGACAAAGCCCTGAAGAGAGCAGAACCAGCAATAGAAAGAGCTCTGATCTCCTAACTCCCAGCCCAGTACCCTATTTATTGGGCAACATTGCCTCACATGTACTTAAACATTTGCTTGTGAACAACTACAGCTGGCAGGTGCACCAGATATTTTATGAGTGCAGCTTTAAAATTATTGGCTTCAGTGACTTGTATGCAAAAAATTAAATAATGTGGCAGAGTTGGGACTAGAGAGCACAGATCTCCAAATTCATCATTTTGGTCTTTAACCACTAGACTATGTTCTATGTCAGATAAGGAAAGTATGTCTGTCTGAGGCAATCAAAACAGGAGAGATGGTAAGAAATGGTCTTCAAAAGGTGATAGTGAGTACAGAGAGTTACTAGCTGAACTGCTTGTGCTTTAGCTTGAGCCTATCATGTTGCTTCTAATTTTCACCTCATCTTTGATTTAGCTTCCACTTGACACGTTTTGGGCCTGGGCCACACAGATCTCTATGCCAGACTGTTTGCAATTCCGAGTGTTTTGCCTTGCCTAGAAAGTTAGATTGCTGAAATATTTGCTAGAATAAATAGAGGTTAAGTGTGAAGTCAGTAGGTGAGCTTTGCTTCACGGATATTGGTATAAAAAGCAGTTGCCATACTACTTTGAGTGATCTAAAGAACAGATGTTTGTATGTGATTTATGAACACAAATGTGTTCATCTTCCATAAATAGCAATATGTTCCAGTAACAAACTGAATAGAGAATTCTAGCCCAAGAGGGCTGGGCAACTGCAGGCAGTATTTGAAATTGTCCATTAATTCTTGGTTTTACATGAAAAATAGACTATAAATCCAATCCTGTAATCCCTTCACATTTGAGTGGTTCCTCTGATTTCAAAATAGGACTATTCATGTAAGTATGGCATAATCAGACCTGATAATACAGATGTCTGTTTAAGATAATTAAATGTAATTAAATCAATAATAATGACATTCAATATACAGTAAATGCACTTTGGAAACATTACATTAATATGACCTAGTTTGTATTTTAGTCATTATCAGAATTTTAGCAAATTTCCAAAGCTAAAAATTTTATGGCTAAGTATTCACTGAAAGCTTCTAGTTCTCTGAATAATTTCTGTAAGAGTAATCAAATATTTGATTAAGCAAATAGGTCATCACCACTGCTCACACTTGCACTGGTCCTAAACTATTGTGGTTAAACAGCATCCCATTTCTCAGAAAGATTGTGTTGCAGACATGTAATATTAGCTGATGTGCTTAATTTTAACAGCACAGTTAATTTTTGGACAGCAAGTTTACTCAAAAACCATCTTCAGTAACCATCAGTGAAATCTTGTGGACTGAGGGAAGCTATGTATTTATTCAGCAATTTGCCATGTAGGTCACAAAGTTTTTAAAAGATTTCTATAGCTGCTATTTTATTTCAAAACAGGTTTTCTAACATGCCAACATTTATTCTTTAAATTTCATGGGCAGTTGCATTACACCAGGAATACATTTGGTACACAGTATAGTTTCCATTTGTACACACATTATATATACATACATATATACACACCATATCACTAGAAAAAATGGCTCCATAAGTGGCAGAATTTACACAAAGCAATCTATTATGATTCGTATTGAATATAACATTTTCCCTTTCTGTGTTAGACTGGTAAGTGGTATTGCTCTGACATGTTACACAGCTGCTACTCTTTTCCCCAGAGGTGGCTGCATTTCATGGTGGGTGAAAGGATTCCCTAGAACATCCTTTTGCTCCAGTACTACACAAGGATATTAAAATATTTTCATAAACTTTAAGGCCAGATGAGACCATTATGACAATCTAATCTGATCTCCTGCGTACACCAGCCATCTAATGCCACCCCGTAACTCCCACATTGAGTCCATATTTAGGAATTGATTCTGCACTCCCAACACACCCCAAACTTCTATGCACTTCAGTTAGGGTTTGTAAAAATATTGTGAGATCAGATAATACTGCTTCACAGTTTAGGTTCTGTTGTTGTCTTTTACCCATGTGTTGCAGAAGTGAATGCTTCTTCCCCACCCCCCTTTCTGCTACAGAAGGACTTCCTTTCTTGCAGTGTCCATAAATTTTTACTTTTAACACTAAGTTTCATTTCAATAAGTTACTAGCATTGGACAGCCAGCCAAGAAAAAAAATAAAGCTTCTGTTGACAATGGTCAAGTGGATTTAACTCATTCTTTGTGTGTGTTACTTTATTTCAGGTCCAGTGTCAATACAATATGAAGATGTGGCATTTGAGAGGGTTATATATATATATATATATATATATATATATATATATATATATATATTTTAAATGGAGAAACAACATGAAAAATGGAACAGAAGAACAGGTAAACTGGTTTTAAAAGGGAATAAAAAGGAGCCAATAATTATGCCTCACTCTACTTGCAAATCATGCTCAGGACCTCATATGGTGCGAACTGGCCTAGCTCTATTGATACCAATAGAGCTATGCCAATTTATACTAGCTGAGGATCTGTCTTAATACCATTTTTAGATACTGCCACTGGAATTCACACTTTCGTGTCAAAATTGAAAAAGAGTTTGAAAATGCACTATCTTTCTTCCTGTCTCCAAGTGTATAACTGAAGGCTTGCTGACTGTGGGAGATTAATGAAAGTAGCCAAAAACTGTGCACAAGTGATTGTTTGTGACACGTGCAGAACAATGTGTTTTTGCCCCTTGCTTCTAGACAAATGAATATTTATATGCAAGGCATAATTTTCCCTCTAGTAACAATTTAACAACATCAAGGGGATGCTATTAACTGTTAAACGTTGTCAGTGCAAGTTAAAGATGCTGTAAGCCACTCAAAGCCTTTACCACTGAGCTACATTAACATAATCTTTCAATCAGTGCAGAAGCTGCATAGAATTTTTTTTTAAATGTATCCCTAAAAAGCAATGCTAGGAGTGCAATACTTAGAACTTGTGTGTACTTTCAAGAAATCCCCAATTCCAGACTATTTGTATAACCAGGTGCTTGTCTTAACAATCTCACTGCATGTAAAGGTAGCAAGATAGATTCAAAAGGATGTTTGATGCAGTCAACATGGATCCAGACTTATTTGGCATCTATCATGTATTCCGCAATCGGTGGGTGGGTATGTGGAGGAGGAAAAAGGAAGGTGAGGGACAAAGAAGAGGGCAGGGAAGAGTTTCAAATTAAAGCTGCAGTCACTATTTCCAAATAGGGAAAGGAAGCCTAAATAACTATACCATATAGGGAAACTGATAAACATGAGTGGTAGTGAACAGTAAAATCTAGTTGCTGATATTAGCCAATATTATGCAGTTAAACATTCTTCTTTGATACCAGATAAAAAAGTCAAGATATGGACTCCTGTTAATTAGGAGTTGAGATGCAGCTTCCTCAGCAGCAAAGTAATTGTTTGTGCAACACACACCCCATATCTTCAATTTAGGTCAGCCATCAAGAAGAGGAAAAAAGGACTGGAGACTGAAGATGAGATGCTCTATTTCACACAGTTGCCCTCTGGAAGGACTGGCAAAGGCAGTCACTTAAATTAAGTGCAGGTCATCAGACAAGATATATAATCTATTCATGAAACAGACAACCTCAACAGCCCAAATCCCTATGGCCTTTACAGCGACACAATGAACTACTTCCTCATGTACCTCTGTCAATTCACGTTAGGTTCCTACTTTTTTAAAAGTGATATTTCATGTACATTATGACCCTATTGCTCATGGCAAGGAAAGTGCTTTGGTTTATTTATGACCTACTAACCTTAAATTTAAAAAAAGCATACAAGTAATCTGAATGTTCTCATAAGCCTGGAGATTTGAAATAAAACTTAAAATAAATCTGGCATTTGTAGCACAGCCAGCTAAGCTATATTTGCCCAGTTGGGATTTTTTTTTTTAAATGAAAACCAGATGACAAGAGGAAAGTATTATTACCCTACATAAACTGCAGGTTTGGGGCATCGGGACTGCAGCTCATGAGTGCCTGGATTTCTCATGAGCCTCTGCTTCCATCAGCATAGAGTTAAATAAAGCAACACTGTGGTTTTACATCTATCTCCAGTCTAGAAGACTAGAATGAAAAGCCAGCTGTAGTTTTTGACATAGAATTTAACCCAGCCACAGAACCTAACCTTGGAAATAGAGAGGTTGGTTATCAGCCAGGCAAGATAGAGAGTGTGTGTGTGTGAGAGAGAGAGAGAGAGTGGGGGGGAGTGACAGAAAAGGAGAAGTAGAACTAAAAGAAATGGAGAATAAAAAGCAAACATCCTCCCTCTTCTATGCTAAAATGTGAGTGACCCTAAACTGCTCATTTAGCTGGGACAACGTTGACCACACGCAGATTGGAACAAAGGCCTGTCGAATCCAAGAGCCTGATTCTCCACTCACTCATGATGATGTAAATCAGGAGTAACCTCACTGAAGCCAATGGAGTTGCAGTGGAATAAAACCAGTGTGAGTGAGCAGATAATCAAGCCACAAGACTGTGGTCTGCTATATGTGGATACATCACAAGTTCTTGGCTGTATTGGCAAAACAAGTTTACTCTGCATTTACTTTGAATTCTGAAGCTTTCACAATTGCAAGTGATTCATTTCCCAGGCCAAAAAAAAAAAAAAAAAAGAAAAAGGAAAAAGGAGCCTCCTGTCTACAACACACACTGTAGCCCACAGAAGAAAGAGGACTCCAGTTTATGCTACTACAGTCATGCTGATGCGCACCAGTATGATTTTCTGTTCGATAAAGGACAGCAAATCATTTATCTTAGTTTACTGTTACATGTTTAAAAAGTGGGGCAATCAATTCCAGTATATGCAGGTGTCATAAATATAAAGGGAAGGGGGTTAAGAAGCTCTGATACAGTACTATAAAATCCTCTTACCTGTAAAGGGTTAAGAAGCTCGGGTAAACTGGCTGGCACCTGACCAAGAAATGACCAATGTGGGGACAAGATACTTTTAAATCGGGGGAGGGGGGAGAAAGTCTGTGTGTCTGTGGGATACCTTTGCCGGGAACAGATCAAGGATGCAAGCCCTCCAACTCCTGTAAAGTTAGTAACTAATTTAGCTAGAAAATGCATTAGATTTTTCTTTTGTTTTTGGCTTGTGAAATTCACTGTGCCGGAGGGCATGTGTAGTTCTGTTTTTGTGTTTTTTTTGTAACTTAAGGTTTTGCTTAGAGGGATTCTCTATGTTTTGAATTGGATTACCCTGTAAAGTATTTACCATCCTGATTTTACAGAGGTGATTCTTTTACCTTTTCTTTAAATAAAATTCTTCTTTTAAGAACCTGATTGCTTTTTCATTGTTCTTAAGATCCAAGGGTTTGGGTCTGTGTTCACCTATACAAATTGGTGAGGATATTATCAAGCCTTCCCCAGGAAAGGGGATGTAGGGCTTGGGGGAATATTTTGGGAGAATAGGACTCCAACTGGTCCTTTCCCTGTTCTGTGTCTAAATCAATTGGTGGTGGCAGCATACTGTTCAAGGACAAGGCAGAATTTGTGCCTTGGGAAAAAGTTTTTAAACTAAGCTGGTAAAAATAAACTTAGGGGATCTTTCATGGTGGGTCCCCACATCTGTACCCTAGAGTTCAGAGTGGGGAGGGAACCTGACATGGTGCTAGCAGTGGGATCATTTTTGAACCAAAAGCACAGCAGGATTTTTAAAAGGACAATTTTTTCTCTCTGCTTGAAAAACAGGGAGAGTTTTTTAAAGCTGATTAGAGCTGAAGGTTCTGTCCCTTTGCCTGGAGACAGAGCAGCCGCATAACAAAAGTATCACACAGACAGACAAAGCCTTCCCCCGGCCCCCAGATTTGAAAGTATCTTGTCCCCCCATTGGTCATTTCATGGTCAGGTTCCAGCCAGGTTACCCGAGCTTCTTAACCCTTTACAGGTAAGAGGATTTTATAGTACTGTATCAGAGCTTCTTAACCCTTCCCTTTATATTTATGGCAGCAGGACAAATCAGTTAAAAGAAATAGCTATGACTTAAAGTCTTTGTCACGGAGCCTTATTTACCATACTATACTATACCATACCATACCATACCATACCATAAAGGAAATGGCACAGAGTCATGATATGTGGTGTCTTTTAGCTTTGGGGTTCCATTCATGTGAATATTAGCAAGTTGAACAAGAGATGCTTGAAGTGAAAATAGGTTATGCATTGATATGCCAAATATACCACACCAACCCCACTTGGAAACAAGATTTCAGATGCAGCACTTAATGAAAACCAACAAATCATCAGTTTCATGATAACTAGTTCTGCTGCACAGTAAGATAAAAACTCTCTAGTTGAGCTTGAACCTTTCAAGGGATTTCTCTTCTGCAGACCAATTCTGCTTGCCAGTGCAGATAGTAAGCAAGGTAGATGACTATGAATCAGAGGACAAAGCGAGACTTGTCTTTCCACTTCCCAACCCTTCCCATTAATGGCCAAAGACGACAAATCTTTGTTGCGTTACACATGAATTGCAATACTACGTACACTTCCTTTTCTCTAAAAGCCAGTTTTGATGGAAGAGAAAGTCTAAATGAACTGGCAAAGTTTAGAAGAAAGGCAAACAACTTCCATTATTGCTGGAGCCTTATCAGAATGAGCACTTCACAAAGTGTGATAATCAAATCCTTGATATGGACAAGACACTTCAAACAAACAAAAACAAAAAAAGCCTATCACACACACATCCCATTGCACTCCAAGAAGGAATCTCTAGGTTAGAATGACCCAGATAAGTTCACCTCTTGCTTTCATAACAGGGGGAGCGAACTGAAATTTACATTTAAAGAAAGTCTAACACTGCATCAGATTGCAATCTGATTACCTCTAAACTACTATAATGGGATTTCAGTTGACTTCTTAGGTTAGGCAGATGTGTGTGGTGGATATGTATGTAGAAGGGCTTTCTAAATTAGATCAATTGTATGGGTTGTATAGAAGCATTTGAAGAAACAGGATGCTCCTTTTAGAACAGACAATTATTTAATATAGTGCTACTGGCACATATGGTAATTGACAAAGAGAATGAAGTAGTTCTACCTCCCCATCTTCCCCTAGAAGCTTATTGAGAAACAAAAGCTGCTTAAAACAGTCAATACCCAACAACCTTAAACAGATTCAGGTTTGATTGAATTTACCCAGCAGAAGAGACTTTACTGGGACTGGGCAATCTATTAGTGACGTTGCTGGTTCATTTTGCTTTTACCCAGTTGTGTAGAGGTATGGGACTGCACACTCTGATTAACGTGAGTCAAACCATGGAGCTAAACAACACTAGATATTTCAGTCTAGATTTCCAAACTAGATAAATGAAGCTTTTAAATAAATGAAACAGACTTTTTCTTTTCATAGGATCAAAGCCTGGAATGTTGCCAGTTCCTTGCTGTAGGACTGTAATAGAATGGGCCAAGGAGGGTGGGTGATGGTGCTAAGGGAACAATGACAAACTGCATAATCTGTATGATTAAAACCACTGTGTCAGTTATGATTCCCCCTCCCCTTTCAGTTTTTAAGGATGCTGTCAAGTCCGTGGAGTTCTGTTTTTAGTGGTTGCTTCAGTGAACATTCAACGCTGTCGGTGAGTTTGGAATTAAAGTGAAAACCATCGACCGTTGATTGTACCCTCCAGCTAACCATCATCCTCCTTGCTTCATGCTTTCAGGCCTTTCACTGAAGACAGCTGCCAAACCAGCAAACAAGGTATCTCTTACCCCCACCCCATCCTCTTTGCAAAGCTTTACTAAAAAGGTCACAATCAACATTCATTGCTGTCGGTGGGTTTAACTATGTGGACAAGCTCACTGAACAATGAATGCAACTGTGGCCCCACTTTTTGCGATCACAGTCAAGAGGAATATCAACTCTGAAAGCAGCACTGAAAGTCTTTCAGATATGAAACTTTTCTGATCAAAAGACGAATATCTTCAGGATTTTTTGTTTTAAGCTGGTTTGACTCAGATGGTTGAGACAACAATCACTCCTCCCTGGAGTTGATTACAACATAAAGGGAGATCATTCGGCCATTAATATCTCTTACTTACTACAGATATGAACAAAAACTCTGGTATAGAAAAAGCTTCCCTGTATGCATGCCTGAGGACACTGAGCACAGGAAAGATGGTTGAAAACACTTCTAAAATAATAAATAATAATAATCATCAAATTTATGCACTGCAACATTGCACATGCAAAGAGATGACAGCTGTGTGTCCTTGGCAAAACAAGACAAACCCACCCCAAAATTTCTTGCAAATGGGAGCCTTAGTTAAAGAACGGCGATAATATTCCTTATTTTGGTGTAATACAATTCATTGTTATGTGAAGTTTATTTAAACACCTAATAAACATTAAAATACAAACCTTATTGGACTTGCCTCTTTGTACTGTTTTGAGATAAGCTGGAAAGAAATTACTTGTGTGGCTGGTAACGAAGTTTTGCTCATTGTTTCAATTGTGGGATAGAGTGGTGAGTGGTCATGCTGCATTCCCTGTTGCTGGGTGTAAGTGGAAAAAAAATAAAAAGGGAAAATTGAAGCACACCACCACTTCCCCATCCCCACCGATGCTTCACCTACAAATCTCAGGCACCAACCTAAATTTCTAACACCAGCTGAATGGGTACTGAAATATCATGCAATTCTCTAAGCCAATTTCATCCATGAGCTTCAGTTTCTAGTATGTTGGTGAGTTTTTGCATAGCCATTACTCCCAAAAGGAGAAGAATGACAAATCATTTCTTTTGTCTCTCCCTTGTGACATGCATTCCCACTGACAATGTCTGCTTTTTATTATGCATATAAATAGAAGCTTCAAACACATTTCACCTAAGATTTCCTTCTTAGCTCAAACAGGTAAATATTAGGGTATCTGGCCCTCATCCTGCTCATATACAAGTAGTGTATTATACAGTACCATGCTAATGAAATGGCATTTTCTTCTGTAACTTGATCATGATGGGGTGATTGAATCTAACTTTTTTTTTTTAATTATTCTTTACAACAGAGATCTGACATGCATCCAATGGGAGATCAATGCACATAGAATGCATAGAGCACCAGTTCGTTAAACAAATACCTGAAATTCTAAGGCCGTGTCCTCCTAGAAACGTATGGATTTTTAGTTAACTTTGGTGCTGTGTGGTACCCTTAGTATGAAGATACATTTTGCTTTGTTCTTGTTACTGCAATAAAGAGGGGATCGTTCCAGGTGAACTGTTGTTGGAGACACTGCAAGGTTCTAGACTGCATTCATTGGGTCCTTTGTCCCATCACTTTTCCTAAGGTTCTTTTCCTCCCAGCCCAAGGTATTTTAAGTGGTACCCACCCACATCCTCTCTCTGTGTTCCCTCTTCTTTTCTGGCATGGTGCCCCAGATGACTATAGAAGTTCTTACGCTAAGTACCCCAAAAGTATATTAAAAAAAGGGAGCATTTTCTCTGGAGATCACAAAAGCTACATCTTATAACTGAAAGTAGTAACTTTCAGATCAAGGTGCAGCTAATATCTCCTGGCATTAGTGTGAATTCAGATTTATTTAAACACGATTTATAATATGCTATATCCTGTTGTCCTCAGGGAGCCTCTTAAATATTAGATAGATAGCTATGGTGTGCTATGAGTTTATGAATAGACATGGTATTTATCTGAATAGAAGAACCTGGAATTTGGCAACACAGGAAGAATAACCACCTGGTATGGAATCATCCTAACACAGAGAAGTAATGGGAATCATTCATGCTCTTTGGTTAGCAAAATTGCATACTAGAATTGGTGTGAAGATATGAACTTCAGCTCCACATAGAAGGAAGCTGATTTTGAATATATTGTTTTGTATAAGGGATCTTTCTTTATAATACCTGATTACCTTATTTTGTTTCCTGCACTGATTCAATATTACTTAACATTTATATTACAGTAGTGCAGAGAGGCCTCCATCAGGATTAGGCTAGGCACTATACAGACACTTATGAGGAGACCAGCCTTATCACAGAGAAAAACTTATAATTTAAATGGTTTTCATAAAGAGTGTATCTGTGTGTGTGTGTGCGCACATGTGCGTGCATATAAACATTTTCACCTGGACCAGGTTATACTCAAAGCAGCGGTAGGTTATGAAATTAAGCATGATATGTAGACTGACCCTATGTGAATTTCAAGACAGATATCCCAGATACATGGATGTAAGAACATTTGGACAGATAAAGGAGAAACAGAAAACAAAAACGCCAAGAATTTCTACAAGTTCTTAAGAACAAGTTCCATCTCACATACAGAAATTAGGAGGGACTGAGTTTGGCATGTGTATATGGTGTGAGCCATCAAGGACTATATATTAACCACCCTGTCATAAAAACAAAGGGAAGGGTAACAACCTTTCTGTATATAGTGCTATAAAATCCCTCCTGGCCAGAGGCAAAACTCTTTCACCTGTAAAGGGTTAAGAAGCTAAGGTAACCTCGCTGGCACCTGACCCAAAATGACCAATGAGCGGACAAGATACTTTCAAATCTGGAGGGGGGGAGAGAACAAAGGTGTGTGTGTGTGTGTGTGTGTGTGTGTGTGTGTGAGATGATGCTTTTGCCGGGAACAGATCAGGAATCATCGAATATCAGGGTTGGAAGGGACCTCAGGAGGTCATCTAGTCCAACTCCCTGCTCAAAGCAGGGCCAATCCCCAACTAAATCATCCCAGCCAGGGCTTTGTCAAGCTTGACCTTAAAAACTTCTAAGGAAGGAGATTCCACCACCTCCCTAGGTAACGCATTCCAGTGTTTCACCACCCTCCTAGTGAAAAAGTTTTTCCTAATATCCAACCTAAACCTCCCCCACTGCAACTTGAGACCATTACTCCTCGTTCGGTCATCTGCTACCACTGAGATCAGTCTAGACCGATCCTCTTTCAGATAGATGAAAGTAGTTATCAAATCCACCCTCATTCTTCTCTTCCTCAGACTAAACAATCCCAGTTGCCTCAGCCTCTCCTCATAAATCATTTTTGTTGCCCTCTACTGGACATTTTCCAATTTTTCCACATCCTTCTTGTAGTGTGGGGCCCAAAACTGGACGCAGTACTCCAGATGAGGCCTCACCAATGTTGAATAGAGGGGAACGATCACGCCCCTCGATCTGCTGGCAATGCCCCTACTTATACATCCCAAAATGCCATTGGCCTTCTTGGCAACAAGGGCACACTGTTCACTCATATCCAGCTTCTCATCCACTGTAACCCCTATGGCCTTTTCTGCAGAAGTGCTGCCTAGCCATTTGGTCCCTAGTCTGTAGTGGTACATGGGATTCTTCCGTCCTAAGTGCAGGACTCTGCACTTGTCCTTGTTGAACCTCATCAGATTTCTTTTGGCCCAATCCCCTAATTTGTCTAGGTCCCTCTGTATCCTATCCCTACCCTCCAGCATATCTACCTCTCCTCCCAGTTTAGTGTCATCTGCAAACTTGCTGAGGTTGCAATCCACACCATCCTCGAGATCATTTATGAAGATATTGAACAAAACTGGCCCGAGGACCGACCCTTGGGGCACTCCACTTGATACCGGCTGCCAACTGGACATGGAGCCATTGATCACTATCTGTTGAGCCTGACAATCTAGCCAGCTTTCTATCCACCTTATCGTCCAATCATCCAGCCCATACTTCATTAACTTACTGGCAAGAATACTGTGGGAGACCATGCCAAAAGCTTTGCTAAAGTCAAGGAACAACACGTTCACTGCTTTCCCCTCATGCACAGAGCCAGTTATCTCGTCATAGAAGGCAATTAGATTAGTTAGGCATGACTTGCCCTTGGTGAATCCATGCTGACTGTTCCTGATCACTTTCCTCTCCTCTAAGTGCTTCAAAATTGATTCCTGCTCCATGATTTTTCCAGGGACTGAGGTGAGGCTGACTGGCCTGTCATTCCCAGGATCCTCCTCCTTCCCTTTTTTAAAGATGGGCACTACATTAGCCTTTTTCCAGTCATCCGGGACCTCCCCCGATCGCCATGAGTTTTCAAAGATGATGGCCAATGGCTCTGCAGTCACATCCGCCAATTCCTTTAGCACTCTTGGATGCAGCGCATCCAGCCCCATGGACTTGTGCTCGCACAGATTTTCTAAATAGTCCCGAACCACTTCTTTCTTCACAGAGGGCTGGTCACCTCCTCCCCATGCTGTGCTGCCCAGTGCAGCAGTCTGGGAGCTGACCTTGTTCATGAAGACAGAGGCAAAAGAAGCATTGAGTACATTAGTTTTTTCCACATCCTCTGTCACTACGTTACCTCCCTCATTCAGTAAGGAGCCCACCACTTTCCTTGACTTTCTTCTTGTTGCTAACATACCTGAAGAAACCCTTCTTGTTACTCTTAACATCTCTTGCTAGCTGCAACTCCAGGTGTGATTTGGCCTTCCTGATTTCACTCCTGCATGCCCGAACAATATTTTTATACTCTTCGCTGGTCATTTGTCCAATCTTCCACTTCTTGTAAGCTTCTCTTTTGTGTTTAATATCAGCAAGGATTTCACTGTTAAGCCAAGCTGGTCGCCTGCCATATTTACTATTCTTTCTACACATTGGGATGGTTTGTCCCTGTAACTTCAATAACGATTCTTTAAGATACAGCCAGCTCTCCTGGACTCCTTTTCCCCTCATGTTATTCTCCCAAGGGGTCCTGCCCATCAGTTCCCTGAGGTAGTCAAAGTCTGCTTTTCTGAAGTCCAGGGTCCCTATTCTGCTGCTCTCCTTTCTTCCCTGTGTCAGGATCCTAAACTCGACCAGGAATGCAGCCTTACAACTCCTGTTAAGTAATGTAGCTAGAAATGTGTTAGATTTCCTTTTGTTTAATGGCTGGTAAAATAAGCTGTGCTGGATGGAACGTATATTCCTGTTTGTGTGTCTTTTTGTAACTTAAGGTTTTGCCTAGAGGGATTCTCTATGTTTTGAATCCGATTACCCTGTAAGGTATTTACCATCCTGATTTTACAGAGGTGATTCTTTTACCTTTTCTTTAATTAAAATTCCTCTTTTAAGAACCTGATTGATTTTTTTCATTGTTCTTAAGATCCAAGGATTTGGGTCTGTGTTCACCTATACAAATTGGTGAGGATTCTTATCAAGCCTTCCCCAGGAAAGGGAGTGTAGGGCTTGGGGAGATATTTTGGGGGAAACACATCTCCAAGTGGGCTCTTTCCCTGTTCTTTGTTTAAAACGCTTGCTGGTGGCAGCATATGGTCAAGGACAAGGGAAAGTTTGTACCTTGCGGAAGTTTTTAACCTAAGCTGGTAAGAATAACCTTAGGAGGTCCTTCACGCAGGTCCCCACATCTGTACCCTAGAGTTCAGAGTGGGGAAGGAACCTTGACATGGTGGCAGAGTGGTGGGATCATTTTGAACCAGAGATCATTTTGAACCAGAAGCACAGCAGGATTTTAAAAGGTTTTGTAAAAGGTGATTGCAGCTGTAGATTCTGTCTCTCTGCCTGGGGGACAGAGCAGCAGACATAACAAAAGGATTTTTCTGTAGTCTGAGAACAGCTGTGAGAGAAAAAGGTACCAGGTTACAGCACAGCAAAATTTTACAAGCCAGTTTTTGTTTTGTTTTCTTTCTAACTCTCGGGTGTAAAATTAGTTAAAAACAGAGAGGTTAGGATGACAGACTGCACTGTTCAACAGAAGCTGGAATTAGCCAGATTTGAGGCTGAGGAAAAACAAAAGGAACATGAAAGATGGGTAGAACTCAGACAGATGGAAATGGAGGCAAAAGAAATGGCAGCCAACGAAAAAGAAAGGGAGGCTGCCCACAGGAGAGAAATGGAGTCAAAAGAAAAAGAAAGGGAGGATACTGAGGAGGAAAAGGAAAAAGAGAGGAAGCATGCACTGGAGATAGAGAAGGCAAAGGCTCAGCAGAATATACCAGATAACCCTAACAATCCTTTCCCAACAATCCACAAATGGGAGCGACTATGTCCACAGTATGATGAATCCAGTGATATTGCGGAATATTTTCTCACCTTTGAGAGACTGTGCACACTCCATCAAATTCCTGAAGCTCACAAGATGACCACCTTGGTCGTAAAATTGACTGGAAGAGCTCTGGACATATTCAATAAGATGCCTATTGAGGAGGCTTCTGACTATGGTAAATTTAAGAATTTGGTTTTAAAGCAATTTCAAGTTACACCTGAAACTTACAGAGTAAAATTTAGAGCCCTTAAGAGAGGGCCTAAGACTAAGTAATGTGTCTTAAGTAAACCAGATGAAGGATCTGTTAGATAAATGGGTCAAAGGAAGGGATGTAACTAGCTTTGAAGGAGTGTGTGATTTGATGACTCGGGAACAATTCCTGAATATGTCTAAGGAGTATATAAAACAGTGTTTATGGGATAAGAAAATGGACTCAGACAAATGTCTTGCTTCTTATGCTGAACAATACAAGCAGTCCCAGACCATCAGAGAGGCGGGGCATGCCGGAACAAAATGGATGGAGGGAGGAGAGAGGAACAACCCTGGTCGCAGTTGGAGTGGATACCAGAAGGGTCACCCTCAGACCACACCCTACTACCAGGGGCAGCCCAAGGCCCCAACTACACACCAAGGAACACTTCAGACACCTTATCGTCCCGCCACACCGTTCTCCAGAAACCCACCTCGCCCCAGTGACCCATCAGCTGGACGATGTTTTAAATATAATGAGCCGGGGCATGTAAAGGCCAACTGCCCCAAGAACCCCAACAGATTACAGTTCATTGCACCGGAATCACACCAGAGATCCTCAGGCCCAGATGCTTCCCAGATACCCTCAGAGAGAAGGGAAACTGTGAGTGTGGGCGGGAAGAAGGTCACCACATGGAGGGACACCATAGCACAAGTGTCAGCTATCTATGCTTCCTTAGTGGACCCCAATTTAATCAACCCAGAGATCCAAGTGATGAATCAACCCTTCAAGTCAAACTCTTTTGACTTGCCTACAGCCAAGTTGCCTGTCCAGTACAAGGGCTGGTCAGGAATGTGGACTTTTGCAGTCTATGATGATTATCCCATCCCCATGCTGTTGCGGGAAGACTTAGCCAGTCATGTGAAGCTAGCCAAGAGGGTGGGAATGGTCATCCGCAGCCCGGCTAGGCAAGCTGTCGTACCGAGCTCTGTTCTGGAAACGTCTACCAGGACCCGGTCTGGGGTGATGGAACCGGACCCCATGCCAACGTCTGCAACAGCAGTAGTGGATCCAGTCCCAGAGACCCAGACAGAGCAAGTCTCAGAACCAGAACCAGCGGAACCACCAGCACCAGAACCATTGCCAGCACTGAATCCAGTACTTGCAACCCTAACACCAGAGGGCCGCACTGAACCTGCACCGGCAGCAGCAGATAACCCTACACAAGAGGCTCAGCCAGAGCCTGAACCCCAATATAGTGCACCAGCGGAGAGCGGTTCACAGTCAATGGAAACAGCCCCATCACCTGCATCACTTCCAGAGGGACCAAGCCCAGGTCCACAATCCAATGAGGAACCGATATCTCCAGCATCAAGGGAACAGTTCCAGACCAAACAGAAAGCAGATGAAAGCCTCCAGAGAGCTTGAACAGCGGCAGGAGCAACCCACCACCTCTCAGCTCTTCTAATCAATCCAGGTTTGTTGTAGAAAGAGGACTTTTATACAAAGGAAACTCTTTCTGCTGGAAACCAGGAAGACTGGCATCCTCAGAGACAGCTGGTAGTTCCAACTAAGTACCGGGTAAAGCTCTTAAGCATAGCCCACGATCATCCTAGTGGCCATGCTGGGGTGAACAGAACCAAAGACCATTTGGGAAAGTCGTTCCACTGGGAGGGAATGGGCAAGGATGTTTCTACCTATATCTGGTCTTGTGAGGTGTGTCAAAAAGTGGGAAAACCCCAAGACCAGGTCAAAGCCCCTCTCCAGCCACTCCCCATCATTGAAGTTCCATTTCAGTGAGTAGCTGTGGATATTCTGGGTCCTTTTCCAAAAAAGACACCCAGAGGAAAGAAGTACATACCAACTTTCATGGATTTTGCCACCCGATGGCCTGAAGCAGTAGCTCTAAGCAACACCAGGGCTAAAAGTGTGTGCCAGGCACTAACAGACATTTTTGCCAGGGTAGGTTGGCCCTCCAACATCCTTACAGATGAAGGAACTAATTTCCTGGCAGGAACTATAGAAAGCCTTTGGGAAGCTCATGGGGTGAACCACTTGGTTGCCACCATCAAACAAATGGCCTGGTGGAGAAGTTTAATGCAACTTTGGGGGCCATGATACGTAAATTTGTAAATGAGCACTCCAATGATTGGGACCTAGTGTTGCAGCAGTTGCTCTTTGCCTACAGAGCTGTACCACATCCCAGTTTAGGGTTTTCACCATTTGAACTTGTATATGGCCGCGAGGTTAAGGGGCCATTACAGTTGGTGAAACAGCAATGGGAGGGGTTTACACCTTCTCCAGGAACTAACATTCTGGACTTTGTAACCAACTACAAAACACCCTCCAAACCTCTTTAGCCCTTGCTCTGGTATGATAAACATGCCAGAGAGCGTTCCTTCAAAGTAGGGGACCAGGTCATGGTCTTAAAGGCGCTCCAAGCCCATAAAATGGAAGTGTTGTGGGAAGGGCCATTCACGGTCCAAGAGCGCCTGGGAGCTGTTAATTATCTCATAGCATTCCACACCTCCAACCAAAAGCCTAAGGTGTACCATATTAATTCTCTAAATCCCTTTTATTCCAGAGAATTAAAGGTTTGTCAGTTTACAGCCCAGGGAGGAGATGATGCTGAGTGGCCTGAAGGTGTCTACTATGAAGGGAAAAGTGATGGTGGCATGGAAGAGGTGAACCTCTCCATGACTCTTGGGCATATGCAGCGACAGCAGATCAAGGAGCTGTGCACTAGCTACGCACCAACGTTCTCAGCCACCCCAGGACTGACTGAACGGGCATACCCCTCCATTGTCACAGGTAATGCTCACCCAATTAGAGCCCAACCTTACCGGGTGTCTCCTCAAGCTAAAACTGCTACAGAATGGGAGATCCAGGATATGCTACAGATGGGTGTAATCCGCCCCCTGGCAGTGCATGGGCATCTCCAGTGGTTCTAGTTCCCAAACCAGATGGGGAGATACGTTTTTGCGTGGACTACCGTAAGCTAAATGCTGTAACTCGCCCAGACAACTATCCAATGCCACGCACAGATGAACTATTAGAGAAACTGGGACGGGCCCAGTTCATCTCTACCTTAGACTTAACCAAGGGGTACTGGCAGGTATCGCTAGATGAATCCGCCAAGGAAAGGTCAGCCTTCATCACACACGTCGGGCTGTATGAATTTAATGTGCTCCCTTTCGGGCTGCAGAAGGCACCTGCCACCTTCCAAAAACTTGTAGATGGTCTCCTAGCGGGATTGGGAGAATATGCAGTCGCCTACCTTTACGATGTGGCCATATTTTCGGATTCCTGGGCAGAACACCTGGAACATCTACAGAAAGTCTTAGAGCGCATAAGGGAGGCAGGACTAACTGTTAAGACTAAGAAGTGTCAAATAGGCCTAAACAGAATGACTTACCTTTTACACCAGGTGGGTCAAGGAACTATCAACCCCCTACAGGCCAAAGTGGATGCTATCCAAAAGTGGCCTGTCCCAAAGTCAAAGAAACAGGTCCAATCCTTCTTAGGCTTGGCTGGATATTACAAGCGATTTGTACCACAATACAGCCAAATCGCTGCCCCACTGACAGACCTAACCAAAAAGAAACAGCCAAATGCTGTTCAGTGGACCGAAGAGTGTCAGAAGGCTTTTAACCAGCATAGACCTGTCTGACCTTGTGCTAAGGGCCCCAGACTTTGACAAACTGTTCCTAGTAACCACAGATGTGTCCGAGCGTGGTGTGGGAGCAGTCTTAATGCAGGAATGACCGAATCAAGAGTTCCATCCTGTCGTGTTTCTCAGCAAGAAGCTGTCTGAGAGGGAAAGCCACTGGTCAATCAGTGAAAAGGAATGTTACGCCATTGTCTACGCTCTGGAAAAGCTACGCCCATACGTTTGGGGACGGCATTTCCACCTGCAAACCGACCATGCTGTGCTACAGTGGCTTCATACCAACATGAGAAATAACAAAAAACGTATTCAGTGGAGTTTAGCTCTCCAAGATTTTGATTTCGACATACAACACATTTCAGAAGCGTCTAACAAAGTGGTTGATGCACTCTCCCATGAAAGTTTCCCAGAATCAACTGGTTAAAATCGTCCTTGAGATGTGGAAAATATTCTTAGTCTTTAAACAGTTAGTAGTATATTTAGAGGGCATGTGTCTTAACAACTCTGTTTTCTCCTAGAGCTCCAGGAAGAAATCACAGCCAGTGTTTCACCCTATCTGTGATTTGGGGGGTGTGTCATAAAAATAAAGGGAAGGGTAACCACCTTTCTGTATACACAGTGCTATAAAATCCCTCCTGGCCAGAAGCAAAACCCTTTCACCTGTAAAGGGTTAAGAAACTAAAGTAACCTCTCTGGCACCTGACCCAAAATGACCAAAGAGGGGACGAGATACTTTCAAATCTGGAGGGTGGGGGGAACAAAGGGTTCTGTGTGTGTGATACTTTTGCCGGGAACAGATCAGGAATGCAGCCTTACAACTCCTGTTAAGTAATGTAGCTAGAAATGTGTTAGATTTCCTTTTGTTTAATGGCTGGTAAAATAAGCTGTGCTGGATGGAATGTATATTCCTGTTTGTGTGTCTTTTTGTAACTTAAGGTTTTGCCTAGAGGGATTCTCTGTGTTTTGAATCCTATTACCCTGTAAGGTATTTACCATCCTGATTTTACAGAGGTGATTCTTTTACTTTTTCTTTAATTAAAATTTCTCTTTTAAGAACCTGATTGATTTTTTCATTGTTCTTAAGATCCAAGGATTTGGGTCTGTGTTCACCTATACAGATTGGTGAGGATTCTTATCAAGCCTTCCCCAGGAAAGGGGGTGTAGGGCTTGGGGGGATATTTTTGGGGAATACATCTCTAAGTGGGCTCTTTCCCTGTTCTTTGTTTAAAACGCTTGCTGGTGGCAGCAGCATATGGTTCAAGGACAAGGCAAAGTTTGTACCTTGGGGAAGTTTTTAACCTAAGCTGGTAAGAATAAGCTTAGGGGGTCCTTCATGCTGGTCCCCACATCTGTACCCTAGAGTTCAGAGTGGGGAAGGAACCTTGACACACCTACTATTAGGTTTACTGAAATACTTGTGGTATTTCCCACTGAAATTATCAGGAATGCTAGAAATTACAAGACAAAAGTAAATAGTATGGTTTAATAACCAGCTATGTTTCAATGGTACCAACTGTAACTTCTATTAATGGGCATCATCCTTGTGTATCAAAGGAAGAAGAGACTTAACTCTGTTTAGACACAAGATACCTCATTATAGCCAACATATTGCATAGTATTCCTCCTGACCAGCTAGTTTACAGACCACTTACTTGCATACAATACTATCGTTATAAAAAATGCATAAAACAAAGTATTAGGCCAGGGGATGACCCTGTTAGTAATGATTATTCCGAAGTCCCATGGAAAGGTCTCATTTTTATGGTTTGTTGATATTATATATAATGTTATAAATCCCCATGGACCAGAGGTCTTCTGCAAAAATGGCCATGAACAATGCCATTGGTAAAAAGAAAAGGAGTACTTGTGGCACCTTAGAGACTAACCAATTTATTTGAGCATGAGCTTTCGTGAGCTACAGCTCACTTCATCAGATGTTTACCGTGGAAACTGCAGCAGACTTTATATACACACAGAGAATATGAAACAATACCTCCTCCCACCCCACTGTCCTGCTGGTAATAGCTTATCTAAAGTGATCAACAGGTGGGCCATTTCCAGCACAAATCCAGGTTTTCTCACCCTCCACCCCCCCACACAAATTCACTCTCCTGCTGGTGCTAGCCCATCCAAAGTGACAACTCTTTACATAGTCAAGTCGGGCTATTTCCTGCATAGATCCAGGTTTTCTCACATCCCCCCCACCCCCATACACACACAAACTCACTCTCCTGCTGGTAATAGCTCATCTAAACTGACCACTCTCCAAGTTTAAATCCAAGTTAAACCAGAACATCTGGGGGGGGGGGGGGTAGGAAAAAACAAGAGGAAACAGGCTACCTTGCATAATGACTTAGCCACTCCCAGTCTCTATTTAAGCCTAAATCAATAGTATCCAATTTGCAAATGAATTCCAATTCAGCAGTTTCTCGCTGGAGTCTGGATTTGAAGTTTTTTTGTTTTAAGATAGCGACCTTCATGTCTGTGATTGCGTGACCAGAGAGACTGAAGTGTTCTCCGACTGGTTTATGAATGTTATAATTCTTGACATCTGATTTGTGTCCATTTATTCTTTTACGTAGAGACTGTCCAGTTTGACCAATGTACATGGCAGAGGGGCATTGCTGGCACATGATGGCATATATCACATTGGTGGATGTGCAGGTGAACGAGTCTCTGATAGTGTGGCTGATGTTATTAGGCCCTGTGATGGTGTCCCCTGAATAGATATGTGGGCACAATTGGCAACGGGCTTTGTTGCAAGGATAAGTTCCTGGGTTAGTGGTTCTGTTGTGTGGTATGTGGTTGTTGGTGAGTATTTGCTTCAGGTTGCGGGGCTGTCTGTAGGCAAGGACTGGCCTGTCTCCCAAGACTTGTGAGAGTGTTGGGTCATCCTTTAGGATAGGTTGTAGATCCTTAATAATGCGTTGGAGGGGTTTTAGTTGGGGGCTGAAGGTGACCGCTAGTGGCGTTCTGTTATTTTCTTTGTTAGGCCTGTCCTGTAGTAGGTAACTTCTGGGAACTCTTCTGGCTCTATCAATCTGTTTCTTTACTTCTGCAGGTAGGTATTGTAGTTGTAAGAAAGCTTGACAGAGATCTTGTAGGTTTTTGTCTCTGTCTGAGGGGTTGGAGCAAATGCGGTTGTATCGCAGAGCTTGGCTGTAGACGATGGATCGTGTGGTGTGGTCAGGGTGAAAGCTGGAGGCATGCAGGTAGGAATAGCGGTCAGTAGGTTTCCGGTTATAACATTCATAAACCAGTCGGAGAACACTTCAATCTCTCTGGTCACGCAATCACAGACATGAAGGTCGCTATCTTAAAACAAAAAAACTTCAAATCCAGACTCCAGCGAGAAACTGCTGAATTGGAATTCATTTGCAAATTGGATACTATTGATTTAGGCTTAAATAGAGACTGGGAGTGGCTAAGTCATTATGCAAGGTAGCCTGTTTCCTCTTGTTTTTTCCTACCCCCCCCCCCCCAGATGTTCTGGTTTAACTTGGATTTAAACTTGGAGAGTGGTCAGTTTAGATGAGCTATTACCAGCAGGAGAGTGAGTTTGTGTGTGTATGGGGGTGGGGGGGATGTGAGAAAACCTGGATCTATGCAGGAAATAGCCCGACTTGACTATGTAAAGAGTTGTCACTTTGGATGGGCTAGCACCAGCAGGAGAGTGAATTTGTGTGGGGGGGGTGGAGGGTGAGAAAACCTGGATTTGTGCTGGAAATGGCCCACCTGTTGATCACTTTAGATAAGCTATTACCAGCAGGACAGTGGGGTGGGAGGAGGTATTGTTTCATATTCTCTGTGTGTATATAAAGTCTGCTGCAGTTTCCACGGTAAACATCTGATGAAGTGAGCTGTAGCTCACGAAAGCTCATGCTCAAATAAATTGGTTAGTCTCTAAGGTGCCACAAGTATTCCTTTTCTTTTTGCGAATACAGACTAACACGGCTGTTCCTCTGAAACCTGTCAAAATGCCATTGGTAGTAATTCACTCACAGTAATATATACTATGAGGTCAAGCATATCAAAGCTACAGGGAACGCAATGGATCCTGACTGTTAATAGGAATGCTAGTTTATGATTTATCTTCCTTATAGAAAGATTAAGGGGGTAAAATACAGTTCTCTATTTTGATAAACCACTTGCTGTTCCCTCATCAGTGGTCACAACAGCATGACTGGAATTACATTAAATTAAAGATCAGATTTTTAAAATTTCCTCTGAGTGTTCCTGCAGTTAGCACGACATCCTGGATAACACAAGCCAGAGAACTTCACCCAAAAATTTTTGGATCAAGCCCTGGATTTATGTTTGAGCTCATAGATGCAGACTTTAAGGCCAGAAGGACCACTGTGATCATCTAGTCTGACCTCCTGCACATTGCAGGCCACTGTGCCTCATTTAGAAAGATCCAGTTTTGACTTAAAGACTGCAAGGGATGAAGAATCCGATGTTCACTACCACAGAAGGAAGAACACTTCAAAGTCATTACTTATGCTTTATCTACACTAGGAACTGAAGAGCACCCAGTTGTTATGCTCTAATTGCCTCACATGGTCACTGCTAGCATGAACTAAGAAGGTACCTAGTTTGGATTAATGTAATCCTGTTGATAAAAGACAAACTAAGTACCTTTTAGTTCATGCCAGCAGCATCCACATTGGGCAGTCAAAGTGCAGTACACTAATGCCCTATGCAACTCCTGTAGTCCAAACTGAGGGGCTGTGTAGACAGAGGACTGGTCTACAATACTACTATGAAGGAGGGAAATCTTATCCCTATTTTACAGGAGGGTGAAGCAAAGTATGTAGAGATTAAATGACATGCCCAAAATTACACAGGAAGTCTGTGGAAGACCTGGGTTCCGTTCCCAGGTCTGCCAAGTCCCAAGCACATGTGTTACTGGGAAGAAAGGAAAAATCCCTTAACCACAAGAACATCCAATGATGAAACCCACATTTTTTGTTATACATTGCAGCACTGCTCTTTGTCCTTCTGTATTTGCAACTACTGTACTTTATTCTCTTTTCTGCCTTTATATGGTTACGCTTCAAAAGATACCTAAAAACCATAATCAGATTTATGTTTATATGTGCCCAACCACTTTGAATTCTTTCTGCTGTACAGAGTAGTAGTGGGCCATATACAATTAAAGAGCAAACAGATAGGCATGTTCAACTGTAACTTCCTCATTCACCCTTAATCAAATTCTATATCTTTTTTGCCTTTCTTTGCATTGTTTTATATCCTCCTCAAACTACAGGTACCAGAAATTCACACAATATTCCAAATGCAGACAAGTCAAGGCTCCCTAAAATGAGCTTTTAACTCCCATGCCTTTCAGCCAAGCATAATGATGCAGTGCCATTACAAATGCCAACATTTACATTTATCGACTATCATTCCTTGCCGAGTCCCAGGTAGCCAAGTCCACTTTGTATCAGTGTATTTCATCTCACTGCAATGCAGGACTTAGCATTTGCTGAACTGGAGAGCAATTTCTCCAGAACATAATTTCCCTTCAGAACAACAGACATTTCTCTAAAATTTTAAAACTTAAAGAAAGTGGGCAGCATGCATTAGCAGGCAACAACATAAACAGCAGTCTCTTACAACATGGCTATTGAAAACAATTTATTTACCAGAACACTTTACCACCAGCCCTTAAAAAGCCCCTCCCCCCAAGTGCAGGGAGGGGCTCAGAGGACCCTCTACCCCCCAAAACAAACCAGAACATTTCCACAGGCGCTAAAGAAGAATAGGTTCCATCTCAAACAGAAATAAGAGTTGTCTTCAGAGTGTGTGCGCATATACCAAGGGAGCCATTAAAACCTGGAAATTTACCACAAGCTATGCAATCAGAAAGCACTGCAGATATTGTGGTAAACCCAATTTAAATAATGAGGATTCCTGAAATTCTATTGTAAAAGTGAACAACCATCCAACACATCTTAAAATGGCACTCACTATAAACTCCAATTTACACTAAAATGGAAGGTGGGGAGGACCCGTTGCATCATCTTTCTGCCCATAAAGTGGACTTG